GCTCCAGGTTTTATTGTCTGCCAGAGTGGTCGTCCTCCCTGTTGTTCGTGTGTCTCTGTGTGAGTGTGTGTGTGTTTAATGATGGTGGGGTCCTATACATTCTCATGGTAATTGGAGGTCTGGAATGGAGCTTTTGCAGTGGGATGTGCACTCCTCTCCGGGCTCAGGAGCTGGACTTCAGATTGACAATGGACTATCGTAGAATGGGTGGCGTTGTTTGAACCCCTGTGTTTGTGTGTGTATGTGGGGGGGGGGGATGTGCTTTCTGAAGTGGCTTGAAGAAAGTTGTGAGCAGCAGGTGGGTGAAGCCTCTTCGTCTTCTGTTTTCTGTGTGTGTCCAAGGCAGTGAAAATATGGAGAGAATGCATCAGTGGATTTTTTTAAAAAGAATATTCAGGACTTTTACTTGCTATTTTCTCAGGTGCAAGTGTACAAGTGCATTGGATTACTTGTGTGGATTTGCAGACTATTGTGCAAAAAACTGAAAAGAAAAGCAACTAAATACAGTGACAATAATTATAAACATTATATTTCGTTGTATTTGTTTTGTGTTTTCAAGGAAACCATTAAGGGGACATTTTAAATAGTTTTTTTCTAAATGTTAATATTCATTAGAACCGCATTGATAAAGGACTGTAAAATTGAATTTGAGGCCATTCTTTGATCCAAGATTTTAACTAATCCTAAGTGGTCTTTAAATATTCTAAGCAGCATTGCATGCATTTAAGTGGGCAAAGTGTTAACAAGGGCTCCTTTGCTTCGGAAAACAAACAAATGACAATGCTTTGTTATAGTAGGAATACTGAAGAAACGGCACTTTAGTCACAGTCGCACTTATCTTTGGGAAACTTGAAGCCATTCATTCTGACTGAGCTGCCCTCTGTTTGTGCCACTTGATATCTACTTTATTTTTTGTTAAATTCTTGATGTCCTTTGATAATCTTATCAGTTGTGACTTGAGGCTGCAGTCACACATAGATTGAAGGTGCGGTGCAGTGAGAAAAGTTACCCGGCTCACGTCATTTTATATCACTTTTAAGCACACTCCCTACTGTGACTTTCCCAGACATCCAGTGCTGTGTGTTTAATCTACAAGCTTAGTGTTGAATATGATTCATAAGGCGAGACGGCAATCAGCTGATTCCAACTTGAAACTATGTTGAAATAGTCTGTTTCCTTTGAAGTGTTCAAGTTTGCTGCTCTATATAGTATTGAATGAACCTGTTGATGCCTTTTCATTGCAGTCACTTAAAATCTTGGGCAACATTTGACAGTGTAAGAAAAGAGATATTGCCTAGATATTGTTTGACTATTAACATCAGAACCTCATAAGCAGCCTCAATGGATTTGACAAACATAATTCATTTAGTCCCGTTTATATAACAGTTGGATAGGGAGACATGTTTAATGACATTCAAATGAGTACAGTTCCTCTGCATGCATTAGCCCATAACCCCATATATTTCCCCATATCACATAAGCAGTGTCTTTGTTAAATGTTTCCAAACTCTTTAATATGTGTAACCAGGTCAGCGCTTGAATGCAATTACAGCTGGCTTTCTGCACAGACAACCCCTCACCCCCCGCCGAGCCAGGACCCTGGTTCCCCTTGTCTGGAAGTCTGCATAAAGAGTTGATTATACAGTAAACAAACTACTTCTACAGTATGTGTGTTTAAATATACCCAAGGCTTATTGTATGCTACAGCACATACTGATCCCGCAAATGACATACACACCCAGAGCTATTTAAACGTGTATTTCGCCTCCAGCGTTTAAACATCTATTTCTTGAACCTGTCCAATGTTTTCTTGTTAGGACGAGAGTGAAAGCTTTTTGTATTATTTATTAGCAGTTATCCTTCTATCACATAAAGTAGGTCCTCTGAGTCCTCATATAGCAGGTATTGACTTGGTATTCAACAGGTGTTTACAGTCCGATCACATCTAACACTAGTGAACACTAGCACTATCTTTTCTTTTTTCCTGTTTTATTGTGTTGCACTGTTGGAGGAGCCTGTGACCTAAGATTGTCATCGTCATAACTACACTGTAGCTATGTACGTATGACTAATAAAAGCCTTGAACCTTGAAAGAAGAGATGTTAAAAATGAAGTGGTATTTTATCATACCTGATTGAGAGGGAAATCAGCTGGCAACAATTCCGCTCATTCATTCTTTGACTTGAATAACATCCTCAACAGTTGGTTACGATTGTTCGTATTATTATTGTGAATGATAGTTCATAGAGCACCGCCTAGTTTTCTAGATCTAGATCATTTGAAGGCTTGCTCCTATAATTAAGTTTTCAGCAGCAGGTGGTTGTTTGCTGTGAGTGATGTGTCTCTGATTGTTGGCATCTTGTCACAGACTGTGATTCAGTACATGTTCAGTGATTGTTATGTGGGTGTTTCCTGTTGCTGCGGACTGGGTGAAAAGGGCAGATCCCGTTCCACATGATGATAGTTTAATGTTACACCTCACCCTGTAGGCACCTTACATGTCGTCATTTCTCACCCACAACCCAGTGAATAGCATTTCTGCTGTACATCAGATTGGAAAGGAAGTACAGTAAAATATTCTAGCCTCTTGTTGTGTGTGTGTTTTGCCAACATGTGCACAATGCCCATACTTTCTTTATAATACTCCACAAAGAAAAGTAAAGTGGACATTTATTAAATTGGGTCAGATTCTGTTCATGCATTTCCACAGGTTGTTATGATGGAAATAGCTTCCTATTTAGCCGTGTGAAGTGGAGCATAGGACGCTGTGTATGTGGAGGATCAAACGTGGGAATGAGCCGATTGATTCCAATTAAATTCTGAGTCTTTTGTTTTCAGTCTGTCTTTGTATTGTGTTGCTGCTTGTGTGACTTTTAAAACCCATTAGTGAGCTACTTTCTCAGCAGTGGGGAAATGTTGGCGATTGGTGGAGCAGCAGTGACGGATGATGCAGGGATAAATGGTGCGAGCAAAGTGAGAAAAGCTCCTTTGAGTCGAGCTTTAGCCGAGTCACGTGAAGAGAGAGGGATGAGGTCAGGATGAGAGGCAGACAAAAGGCAGGTGGCCTGAGGATCAGACAGAAATTTGGGTCAACATTTTATATTTTGTCTGCATCTGTAATTAATCTCACTTAGGAACTACATTTGTAATTGCCTTGATTTTATTTAAACATGACTATGACACTGCAGCAGTCTTTTGTGTGTGTGTGTGTGTGTGTGTGTGTGTGTGTGTGTGTGTGTGTGTGTGTGTGTGTGTGTGTGTGTGTGTGTGTGTGTGTGTGTGTGTGTGTGTGTGTGTGTGTGTGTGTGTGTGTGTGTGTGTGTGTGTGTGTGTGTGTGTGTGTGTGTGTGTGTGTGTGTGTGTGTGTGTGTGTGTGTGTGTGTGTGTGTGTGTGTGTGTGTGTGTGTGTGTGTGTGTGTGTGTGTGTGTGTGTGTGTGTGTGTGTGTGTGTGTGTGTGTGTGTGTGTGTGTGTGTGTGTGTGTGTGTGTGTGTGTGTGTGTGTGTGTGTGTGTGTGTGTGTGTGTGTGTGTGTGTGTGTGTGTGTGTGTGTTCATTAGGGTAAGCAGAGTTAACTTCATTAGCCTCTGACAGCTTCTGCTAGGAGCTAGATAGTGAGGTCATCCTTGTCTGTCAACACATGTCAATATTTATTTTCCTCTGCACTTCACCGTTAATGTAAAAGGAAAGGATGGTTTTAATCTATATTTTGTCAACAAATCCATGAGAAGTCAAAACTGAAATTGTGTTAGTCCATCTCATGATACTTTACGACCTCCTCAGCCTCAAGTCCATTTGTGTCTCATGAAGTTGTAAGTCTTAAAAAACGTGTAAACATTTCAACCAGGCACTGTTTTAACCTAAAATGACTTAAACAGCAGAATAAAATAGTTTTTCGGGGACGTATTTACTGCCACAGGTTTAATGCTCTAATTAGTATGGTAATGAAGGAACGTGTCAGTGAGTTCAATAGTGTGGCATTTTTATAGTTGTTTTGATTACATTCCAGTCTATGGCACAAAGAAAGAGGCTTGGGCTTTGGATGCACCAATCATTCATTGTCAGTTTAGTTTTTATGTTGTTCTTTTTGGCCATTATAGAAAATCTCCAGACATATCCTTTCACCTAAGTGCCTAATGTCCCACTGAGTAATCACAGATACAGAGAGCACATGTGGTGATTGAAGATATGTATACGACATGTATCATCACTGTCCAGCGCTGTTATCTCTGCTCCCTCAGTCCCCTCTAACTGCCTCCTCTTCAGTGTCTGCTCGGCCCCTGAGAGCCTGTACGTCTGTAGTTGCTGTCACAGGCCATTGTGCCGCATACAAAGAGCCTGAGTCCACTCCAGTTATGGGTCCATTCATAAAGAGCAGCGGTGCATGAACCAGGCTCTCCCTCCGGCCCCCCGGGCACCCCCACAGATCGGGCCTCTGGGAGTGAGAGCGGAGACATTGATCAAAAGCTATCGGAGGAGAGGAAGAGTAGAAGGCGGGCCGGGTGGGTGGGCGGGGGTGCAGGATCATGTTGGATACAATGAATGGAGACATGGGCTGGGAACTGTTTTTCTTTCCCTTTTTCGGACTTTGCTTTGTCATGGTTTTTTGCTGTATCGAGCTTTGTGTTGTGCCAATTTCATGGCAAATGATGAGCCTAAATTGATCCATTTATGGGAAAAAAATCATAATATTTACTTTTTTTTAAATTTAAGAGAAGTAGCTGTAAGAGAAGTAGCTGTAAGATCAATATTGAAACCTATGTTCATTATATTAGATTTTTTTTTAATATATGATTTATTTGTGACATTGTCAAACACAAAGCATACATACATAGACCCTCACAAGTACAATAAAGGGAGTAAAAGAGACCATTCTACCAGGGTCAACCATAAAAAACAAAATAAACAAACAGACCTTAACCACAAACAACATTGAAATAAAATAAAATAAATAATAATAACAACAAGACAGATGAACTAAATCTGTCTTCTTCTTCTCCAGAGATGACGCTCCTGTCCTCCCAACCCAAACCCCTGGACTCCGCCGAAACCTTGGACTCCTCCCCCGCCGCAGGCACAGGCACCGAGGACCCCGAGCTGAGGATGCTGGAGAAGAGGTCAAAGGTCATCGAGGAGCTGCTGCAGACGGAGAAGGACTACATCAAAGACCTGCAGATGTGTGTCGAGGAGATCATCGAGCCACTGCAGAAGAAGCAGGTTAGAAGATGTAGACGCGGAGAGAAAATGTCATCATCATCAAAACCTAACCAAGAAACTTTTATCAGTGTTTTTTTAACTTTCTTTCTGCATTTATTAAAGGTGAAGAATGTGGACTTTGATGGGCTCTTTGGCAACATCGGCTCTGTGATCGACCTGTCACAACGCCTCTATGAAACACTGCAGGACACAGACTCTATTGGTAAGAAGACAGTTTCTCAAATGGCGCGTTTCCACTACAGCGCGGAGCACGGTTTAAGAGGGCTGTGACGTCAGCGGCCCGTTTTTGGTTGCGTTTCCACTTGGCCTAGTACCGGCCGGCGGGTCCTAATTCACAGTTTTTCTGGCCTCATAAAATCGCGGGTCTAGGGCCAGAGACAACGAGGCTGAGTCGGGCTGAGTATGCTAAACTAGAGAGAGCATCGCTGGCAAGGGGGCTACAACTACAACAAGATGGACATATTTGACCGTGATTTAATTGTAATACACGTTTCAAAATGATGCCGAAGTAACAACATACTGATACCGGTTAGTAAAAACCATGAATTAATGCTTTGTCAAGTCTGCAGACAGACGGCAGGCGAAAAAACCTTTTAAAATGCGTGTTTTCTAAATGGAGATTGGCTAAGCTAACGCAGTATATGCTCCGACCGTCCACACTCACAACAACGGCCTATACAGACATAAATAAAGCAGCGACTGTATTCGCCATGACACAGGCCGTCTGTGGTTTGTACTTGTTTAACTTTTGTCTAGTTTCTGAACATATATGAGGAGCTGTGAGCTCTGAGTGCTAACAGCTAACGGCTGTGTTGTTTTTCTGGGGTTCTCTGAAGATCACGTCACGGCTCCGCCTACACTGCGTTACTATAGATACTACCCCAGTTCCTAAACTGTAATGGAAATGCGCCATAAAGTGAGCCAGTCCTAACGAGGCCCAGCCATACCGAGCGGGGCCGAGCGAGGCCGTGTAGTGGAAACGCGCCAAAAGATGCACATCCTTTGGACATCTTTTTCACCAACCAGGAGTCAAGTAACTTCTTTCCCAAGCTTTGCTGTTATATACAAGAGTTTGAAAGCATTTGGAAATAGCTACCATTGGAGAAAGTTAGGTGAAATATCACAATTCAATTCATATTTGAGTATTTCCTTAAAAAGGTTCAGATTCTGTCTTTACCAACGTACCTAACTTTGTTGCCTGTTTGGCTTTAATCACCTGTGTTAGTGAGAAACATCCCCCATCATCCTTCTCTCTGACCTTACGTTTCCTGTGCTCTTAGGAAATGTATTTCTGGGCTTCAAATCTGAGCTTGAAGAAGTGTACAAGATCTACTGCCAGAACCACGACGATGCCATCTCTCTGCTCGAGAGCTACGAGAAAGAAGAAAACATCCAGAGCCACGTGTTGGAGTGTCTGGAGAGACTGAGGTGAGTCACCGAGAGGAGGGAAAAAAGGTCCAAAAAGGATCTCTCACTAGTTTGAGGTTTCAGTTTGACTTAAAACACTTTTTTCGCATGATCGTGTGTTTAAAAGCATGAAAACAAAACAAGAGTTGCCACTAATACGAGTATAAAGTTGTTTTCAAACATTAACTGTAAAAGTCTGTCGATCATTTATTGTTTGTAGAGTTCAGTAAGTTAACTTTTTGGGGGGGAAATCAACTTTAGTTTAAATAGGTTTTTCTGTAGAATACAAAATTTAAAGTTGATTCTGTAAACAGTTATGGCATTCAGATTTTCAGTTGTCAGTACATATATATATATATTTTAAAAGGTTGTTATGTAGTAAGGCCACAGTAAGGTTTCCTGTTGGCTGATACTCTCATGGAAACAATTTATGATGGGGTTTTTATCAGACTTTGAACTGTGATGCATAAGCTAGTTATAAAAGGGGAGTGCAGTCCAAGTAAATCTTTAAACAGAAGATGTACTTTTGAACTTTAATACATTTTTTAATTTGCCAATTTTCAGTAAACATGCCTTTACTATATTCCTACCGTACACATTCTATATGTGCACTAAGATGGAGCGCTGTGACTTCTCAGTAATGTAAAGCAGTCAAAGAATGTGATCTAACTGGTTTCACTTGTCTAGTTTCAACATTAGTCACTCAGAAACTTGATAATGTTGTAAAAGTAAGTCATCAATCAGGGTTTGAAGATAAACACAGGTTGGTTCACTGGAAGATTAAAAAAGAAGGGCACTGTTTCCAAGAAGTCACACTTAACCAAAGGCCAATGTACAGCTGTGTGTTGTAAACACTGACAATCTTTTGTTGAAATGAATTTGTTATCAGTTTCTTTTGAAATACTGCTTTTATACTCATTTTGTAAGTTTACTATACTGTTGCTAGCCTCAGGAAAGTAATAGTATTTCTAAAGTGAGTGTCTGCTGCAACCTATTCAGCTTTGAAAGGTCATCTATCTACCGCCCAGTAGAATTTGAAGAGTTTTAGTGCCACACTGGGCCTCTGTCCAGTTTTAAAAGAGAATTCACAAAACAAAACCATAACAACCACGGTGCAGCTGCAGGTTTTCTTGCAAAGTGAAATCCTGGATTAAGTCCCTTCATAAGCAAATACTTCCTTTGAGTTCTTAGAATTTAACTTCTAGAAATATGAAGCATTAATGACATTTTCTAATCAGATCATAGGTTAATAAATCCTGTTTTTGTCATCTTTTTCCAACCTTCACTTCAACAGGGCCATATATCGAGAGTGGTAAGTGTCCATAACAAGTGATGTCATGATTTTACAGAATGAGAATCATCTCGACCGCATGCCTGTTGCTCATTAACCCCCTGGAAATGACCTCTGTGTGTGTTGTGTGTGTGTTTGTGATGCTGTGGAAGACTCTAAAACATCTGTGCTGGCATTTCATTTTCTTCTCTGGACTAAGATGAATTCAATGTATTTGTTGTTTGTGCATGTGCTTGTGAATACTGTATATCATTGTTGGGAAGAGACATATTCCGTCTCATTCGTGGAAAGGAATGGTAATTGTTGATTCTGGGAAATCTAATGCCATCTTCTGGACAAAAAAAGCAATAGCAATTAACATGAACTGATCTAGTTAGTATTATTTAAAATATAATACCCATTATAGGATTTCTCTATTGTCAAAATGTTGTAACTCAAAGCTCTCTTTATGGAGAATAGGCTAACCAAAATGCTAACTCTTACACCATAAACAAGTCAAATTGCATGTGACCTAATTTGACAAAGTGAAAACTGTGTATGTTGACAGTTTTTACTGTTTAAATTTGGAAATGTGTTTACCCTAAATAGGCAGATAAGATTCCACAAATCATACCTCAATTTCTAACACCTTATTTTAACAATAGCAGTATATTTTCTTTGACGCTCATGCAGACATCCAATCACAATTTGGCTTTGAACACCTGCATTATGCAATTGACCTTGTTACTATATATCCAGAAGATTGCATTAAAACTAATCAAATCGATATATTTTTTTCTATTTGTGTCTTCTTTGTTCATCTATGTCTCCCAAAAACTGTATGATCATCATCAGAATATATGAATATGTGATGATGGTTACATATCATTGGATCATACATCCACATGATACAGAGACGTGTGTTACCTGTGAACATAATGGAATAGCTGTGACGGTGATAGTGACTGTGTGTGAGCTTCTCTTCACATATCGTCATTTCTTCCTCCAACCAAACCCTCTCTGCTGTCTCTGTCACTTTTTTCAGGGGGAAAACAAACTACATCAACCTCGGCTCCTTCTTAATCAAGCCGGTTCAGCGGGTGATGCGTTACCCTCTGCTGCTGATGGAGCTGCTGGGGGCCACACCCGAGAGCCACCACGATCGGCCCCTGCTGACCGAGGCTCTGCAGGCCATCAAAGAGATCAACGTGAACATCAACGAGTACAAACGCAGGAAGGACCTAGGTAACAAAAAATCCCTTAAAGCCTGCTGGTAGGTCTGTATTTGGGAAATCGTTTCTTCAGTGCAGAGTCTGAACTATTTTCCCTCTGCTGCCCCCAGTGGTTAAATACAGGAAAGTCGACGAGGACACGTTCATCGACAAGATCTCCAAGCTGAGCATGCACTCCATTATCAAGAAATCCAACCGAGTCAGCAGCCACCTCAAACACCTCACAGGAATCTCCCCCCAGGTACATCCCTGCTTTTTATTTCTTAACCCAAGCGTCGGGTTTTTGTGAATGAAATCGTGCTGATCTCTGACTGTCTTTTTGTTTTCCAGATTAAAGATGAAGCGTTTGATGAAGCTGAGAAGAAGTTCAGGCTGCAGGAGAGACTCATCAAGTCTTTCATCAGAGATATTTCCTTGTACCTGCAACATATAAGGGTACGAGCATTTCACCACTATCATATAGAGAAACTCCAAACTAGACTCAATTAGAAATACCTACTGTGTCATCCTAAAGTACTTGATAAAATGATAAATCCTACATTTATTTTCAAACTGAATGATTATGTTTACCAAAAACATATTCTCATTGTTTTTAATGAATATGTACATGTAATAATTCTTCATTTTGCTCAGTATTTTATTATGAATATGAGACTTTTTAACTAACAGAAAATATATATATATATTTGTTTGCTTATATATTATGGACTGGCATAAAGAAAAACACAAGGCTTTGTCTCCCATTCTACATCAGTGCAGCAGATAAAAACATGTATAATATCATTCCACAAAAATAATAACCATCCTTAAAAACACTATTGTTAATGATACAAGTGAATTGAACACATATTCCACCGAGTGTATCTATGAATATGTTGTTGGTGCTTGCATGGATTGTAATGAAATGCATCTCTTCAGGAATCGGCGTCTGTAAAGGTCTTGGCGGCCATCAGTTTCTGTGACATCTACACAGAGCGCAGCATTCTCGACCCGGAGCGATTCCAGAGAGCTCACCGCTGCATCAGCGACAAACAGTTCACTCAATTTGTAAGTCCTCTTCCTGTTTACCATCTTTTAATTTCTGTTGGCAGAATCATGCAAAATGCACTTTTTGATGTCTTTTATACATACATTTGTGTCCACGGTGTGTCAGGGACCTCACCGATATAACGTAATATCGGAAATGTGGGCTGGCTTTACACCCACGGCCCTATCAGAAACGTCGCTGAATCAGAAACAATGCGTGACGTGTTTTGGTATTTTGAGCAAAAAACATCATAGACGTGTTATTTATATATTTGTATATTTCTGAGACCCATTATATATGCCTAAAAATAGCATGATAGGTGACCTTTAAGAATGACTCTGATGACCTCCATCAACCCTCTCCTCTCCTTTCCCCTTGCAGAAGGAGCGCACAGAGGCCTTGGTCATCAACCCGCTCACCCAGCTGCTCCTCATGTTCGCCGGGCCGCACAAGCTCATCCAGAAGCGCTTCGACAAGCTGCTGGACTACGACAACTGCAAGGAGCGCGCCGAACGCCTCAAGGACCGCCGCGTCCAGGACGAGCTGCAGGCGGCGCGCAACAACTACGAGGCGCTCAACGCACAACTCCTGGACGAGCTGCCCAAGTTCCACGGAGCAGCAGAGAATCTGTTCACCGGCTGCGTGAGGGCCTTCGCTCACTCACAGAAGAACTTCACCAAGACCACGCTGGGAGAGCTGAAGCCCCTCCTACAAGCTGTGAGTAACTTTGGTTATGAGTGTATTGAGGATTGTGGGACATGTTGACATAATAATCATACTAATACATTCTTCATGCAGTTGTACTCATTATATTATATTCTGTTGTTAACCCTGACTTTTTCTTTACACGTTCTTTCTTCCAGTTTTCTAACAAAGTAGGCCCAGAGGGGAACCTGATCTCTAAGTTTCAAGAGGAGTACGGTCGGGTTCTCCAACTCCTGCAGAGCTTTAGCTTCTGCCCGGAGAACCTTCCTCCTGCCGCCTCCACCAAAAAGACCTTAGAGAAGAAGACTATGGAGAAGCAGATTTCAAGAAAGCATCTGCCGGCACCTGTGAGTGAAACGCTCATCTTATATGCTCCCTGCCTGACTTATTCTCTGCATTACTTCAAAAACAGTGCAATATTGTGTGTATGATTTATTAAACAGTGCAATAGTCATATTTAGGATTATTATTTTGAACATTATTCTGGTTTTCATTATTAATATCTTTATTATTAATACAAATACACCACTGTATATATCGCAATACATTCTTTTACATGTATATTGTTCTTGCATAATAAACTACAATGTGAACATTTTTTCTTTAGCCGTTTTTTAAATGTTTTCTTTCTTTTATTGTAACCAAAATCCCATTTCCTCCTGGGGATAAAATACGTATTCTATTTCTGTTTCTGATTGGTGCCAGACCAAATTCATGATCTAACTGTGACTCCTGTCCTTGTCGCTTCCAGCCCAACCACATCTCGCAGACGGACGAGCACCGGGCGGGACTTCTGGCACGTTACGGACCTGAGAAACTTTTCCAGGCAGAGAGAAACTTCAACGCAGCCCAGGATCTGGACGTGTCTGTACTGGAGGGAGACCTTGTGGGTGTCATTAAGCAGCAGGATCCCATGGGCAGCAACAACCGCTGGCTCATTGATACAGGAGGTAGGTCATTCGTACTCAAAGATTCAAAGGTTGTATTGTCGTAAGCTACAGTGTAGAAATGGCAATGAAAATCTTGTATCACAAAAATACAAATAAAAAATAGTGCATGAAGTCTATATATATGTAAATAGATTATGATATGCAAGAACAGAATGTGAAATTACATAAAGACGAAATTAAATACGGTTTATTGCGGTGATAACTATTTAGATAAATAAGTAGATTGCAAGATGACTGTTTATCGAGGCACTTTACAGAGCTCAGGTGTTTAGCAGTCTTAAGCCTGTAAGCCCTGATGAAGAGCAACATTTTTGGATGTGCTTCTGACATTTGAAAAAATAATGATGCTTAATAAATCTATTTCTGTCCTTGTTTTGCAGTCGGAAAGGGTTTTGTTTACAGCTCCTTCCTCAAACCCTACAACCCACGCAGGAGCCAATCGGACGTGTCCATCGAGAGCCAGTCGTCCAATGAGTCGGGTTACGGCGGCTCCTCGCCTGTTTTCTCACGCCAAAACAGCAACAGCACGCTGACCTTCAACCAGGAAGCAGCCACCGTCAGCTTCTCCACGTCGCAGCCCACGGGTCATTCCTCGCCACACCCTTCTCTCGACTCTGCCTCGTCTCGTCGGAGTAACCCCAGAGACACTCCCAGCCTCGACCCTGCCAGCCAGAGCAACTCCATCAACTCCTCGCCCAGAAATCCCTCAAACCGCCGGGAGTTCTCAGAACAAACTCACAGAATTTCCTCCAGAGACACGGAGCCTTCTCACCGGCATCACAGAGACTCGTACGATGCGGGTGCGAGCAGCCACAAGGAGACGGCAGACCTCTCGGAGACAGACTCTTATTCTTCACTCAGAAACAATCGTTCACAGCGGCATGGACACACGGACAAAACCTACAGTTCATACCAGTTGAGAAACGGAGATAACGGGGGCCAGAAGAGGGCCGCTCCCCCCAGAGAGGAGTACATCGAGCCGGAGCCAGAAGCAGAAGATGAGAGTGAAGTAGACGGTCATCAGGTGAGAGGAAGTTTGAATCCTATGATGGAATTTAAGATACTATAACAAGGGCAGACATTTAATTTTCAAGTTATGAGAGTAACCATGTTAAACTAAGGGATTGATGTTATAGAGAAAATCATACATCCCAAATAACTCAATATTGATACTTTAACCAGGGCTTAGGGTTGACCATTGATGCTTTCAAAACATATTTTGACAATCAGATTTTTGATTTATATACATTGGGGTGGATTTTATGACTAAGTGGCCTAATGCAAATCCCTTTATTGAAATGTTGCCTTTGAAACCAGGAAAAAAACACACTTAGGATATTACAATATACAAAATCTAAGACTAAATAGCTTGTATCATGTCAAAATATCGATATAAAATCAATATAGAGCCCATCCCTATTTGAACTTTAACCCAACAAAAGCAGCTTCTGTAAGAGTTTCTTTTATCTATTTAAAAAAAAAATCATAATTCGTTGTTGTCTCCCACAAGCCCATCCTACTATAGATACTGCCACCAGATATTAATACTGCTTTTAAAATGTTGGGGGAAAAAAACTGTGTTGAATGACTGTGTTTTTATTTATTTTCCCCGTTTTTAGATCTACTATGCGATCTACTCCTTCGAGGCTCGTTGTGCCAATGAACTGACCATCTCAGCCAATCAGAGGCTGCGGATTCTGGAGTTCGAGGACTTGAACGGCAACAGTGAGTGGTGGCTCGGGGAGGCGGAAGGCCGGCGAGGCTACGTGCCTTCAAACTACATCCGCAAATCAGAATATACCTGAACAAAGTTTCACCCTGAAGACTGTACGACGCCTTGAGGAAGGCTCACTCTGAGCAGACAAGCATCTGGACACGTGGTCGCTTATTTCTGATCTGTTATATCATGGAGTTTGATAGTGAGAAAGACTGACCATTGCGCCTGACTCTGCTCCTAAGAGTTAGCATGTTATGCCTATATTTATAGACTTTTTTATATTATTTTTACTTACTGGAAATTGCACCTACTCCCTCTTGTTTCCAGTGATAAACCTGTGAATTGCACCATATTTTTGGCCATATTCTCTGTGGCTGAAGACAATGAAATGTATGTTTTAAGAGTCTTAAAGGTTGACGCATTGGGAGATTGCAATGGAAATGTGAATGTTTTGGGTTCAGGCTGGATTTTTTTCTAAACAAACATCAAGATGTATGAAGACAGACTTATGTTAACACTGTGTTAATGACTTTTTTCTGCTTGTGGTTTACCACTAGAATGATGAATGAATATTAGATGACATCTATACCGTAATGTTCAACAATCAAGGTTTGAGGCACTTATGTTGATTATCCACTGGTGGCGAGCTTTGAAGTGTCTGTGGAGCAATCAACAAGAATTTGGCGTATTGTATGAATTAAATCTGTAATAAAAACAAAGCTGAATATATGGTTTAGCACTCCCCTTGTCGATACACTTTGACACCGTGCAAACAGGTGATGACCGGCTGAACCTGTCAGAAGAGGTTAAAGAACAGGGAGAAAGATGTCGTGCTCCAAACTCAACTCTTTGTACATTATATATAGTGCTGTATATTGAGAATATGCTATTGCACCCACTGTAAAGTGATCACTGTTTGAATAAAGAAAACAGCTCAGCTGACAAATTAAGACAATTTCTTACAATTATTTTTGTTTGTTTTCAAGGGTGTTGTTGGAAAAAATATTTTACTACGTGTTTTTACAGATTAAACTTTTTTTTTAATTATACAAATAAAATCCCTTTTCACCTTAAGCCATAAACATAGGAGGGAAACAGTCCAGATCAGACATAGAAAAGGGATCAGACATTTTTTCTCAGATGCCTGTCAGGGTTTCTGTAGTTTACCATGCAACAATTTGAATATTGTGTTCAACTGATACATTACAAATCTGTCCTGAACTTATAGTAATTATTACTTTAGCATATACTGTATAGAAGCCAAGCAGAAGTATAATACAGTACAAGTTTCAATAATGTATACAGTGCAAAACTGAATAAGGGTGTTTTGCATTTTGCAAAACGGTACCATTTTCATAACATTTGCAAATTGTAAACAAGATTGATGTGATGCAATTCCAGCTCTTCAACTTGTTGGGAAACCTGAACTCAAGTTAATACATTTTTTGATTTAAGGGATACCTTTATTGAGTGGATTATTAAAAACACACAAACTATGCCAAGAGCGTCAACATATCACCTCCCTTATAATATTTTATGTTTATTGAGATCGACTTTCTAACCCTCTACCACTTTATACCCGTCAGCACCTCCACAGTAAGAAAGGTCACAGGGCAAAAAGACAAAGTATTGAATCACATGTAACTCCTGTCAAATCAATGCAGTTTCCTAATGATTTACCGGTGGGTGGAGTGTTAGTGAGGGGTTATTTAGGACGGTGTGAGCATGAAGCCCACCATAGATTGACAATGGTCCCATCATGGCCAGAGCCTGCTTCAACATGGTCTGCTCTATAGCTTTGATATTACAACTGTGTGCATGCACTGCATTCGGGCCAGGACTCGTACTGTATGAGTATGCATATGGCATAGATCTTATTATTTTTGAAAAAGCATTTATAGCATTAAAAAATGTCAAAGGGAATTAAACCTGGAACTTAACTTAATAATTGATATATTTGTATTTGGTTACAGGATGTCACAGAACCAGATGAGGTACACATTTCTTTACCTTGAAATAAACGTTATGAGTGGAATGCTTAAATGCCCCTCTTTCCCTCACAGAGTATTATTATGACGATTATACCACCGACAGCCCGGCAGAAGATGTTGATTCGACTCTAGATGACTGGTTGTATGAACTCATGGATGTCGCAGGTAAATGACCTCTAAATGCTTAAAGATGCAACAGTTTGTATCCTCTCTGTAAAGATGTATTGATCAAGGCCTTTACTGATGCAAATACAGTACATCAATTGCACTTTGCTCCTGATTGATTTGTCTGTTGAACTGATGAGTCTGCATGTGAGATCTTACATTTTGCAAGAATTTGATGTTTTTCTGTCTCCATGCAGATGCCTGTTATCCAGAACCATGTCTGAACGGAGGAATCTGTAACCACGCTGCTAATGGGGGCTTCACGTGTTTTTGCCCTGAGCCTTACTCAGGAAAGAAGTGTCAGACAGACTAAGATCAGCTAGATGAGAACTTTAAGTATAATATTCAATGTTACATAATTAAAGCTTAAACCCATAATCTTACCATTATAGAGGTAGATATTTTGTTAAAGGTAAAGCATAATGATAGCTGGAGATTAATGACTTCATATATCTTACTTTTTCCTGCTTTCATTTGATTTCATGTTTGCCTTTAAAGCTACCATGACCAGGTTTGGAAAAAATATAACTTATAGCGCCCCCCAGTGCTGGTATACAAATACACAATGTTGGCAAAACAATTAACACACAGATTTAAATGTAGTTTTAAGCTTGGTTTTATGTAATACTACTTAACATCAATGTAATTGTCCAAGTCTTAGCCAAAAGTCTACTTCTTAACTGTTTTTCCATGGTCTGATTGTTCAATTAGGCATTAAAACAACAATACAACACACAACTTCTATGGGGAAAGCAAACCATTGAGCTGCTGAACCGGACAAAAAGCTAGTAAGGCAAGCATGTAAAGAAGGACACATATTATGCAGACAATAATGCACTACAGTGTTATGCAGACAATCAGCACACAGCATAACATCACGTTAGCCTACATTACAAAAAAACAGGTAAAATTAGGAGGCTAACAAACAGACAGAAAGCCAAGAGAATGAGAGCAGGCAAAGCAAAATGCAATCTAAACTAAATGCCCCGTGTGTTTTTCAGCGAAAGATGTGTGCAAGAACGTGAAGTGTGGCCATGGCAACTGTGTTCTAACATCTGCTGCTCCATTCTACGAGTGCAAGTGCAATCCTCCATATAAACCACCTAACTGCAAAAAAGGTCTGTTTTCAAGGAACTCTGTTTGATACAGAAATAAACTAATGATTTGTTATGTCAATCTTCTAAAGTCCTATGTGACAAAGTCCTGTAACAAGCTTTTTGTTTTTGCCTGCGCAGTGCGCACACAGCCCTTCCCCTGCAGGCCCAATCCCTGTCAGCATGGAGGCTCCTGCACCAAGGGTCACAAACGCCCCTCCTTTAAATGTTCTTGCCCTCATGGATATACTGGGAAGTTCTGCAAAGTTGGTAAATACAATGTTGTCTCTGTACTAAATTGAACAAAAACTTTTAACTTCTATAATTCCAGAAATCATATAAAAAAACTATTTTAGGACCAAATGACTGTTACCAAGAGGACGGAGAGTTTTACCGCGGGATGGTGAGTGAAACGGTGGAAGGGAAAGACTGTCTGGACTGGAATGCCTATTTCATCGTGCAGAAAGGAGGAGATTCCCCAGGAATATGCAGATGGAATTGGACCACACAAATACTGCAGGTGAGGGGTCATGTTGTGTAAATATTGCATAAGTGCCTACTGTTGACATGGTATTGATGTTTGTCTTTACATGTCGATACAGTTCCTGTAAGGCTTGTAACATGAACTCAAAACTCTTTAAATGTTTTTGGTAAAAACCTTTCCCTTACCCTTTCCCTTACCCTAACCCTGACCCTAACCAAGTCTTCACCCTAAAATTAATGATTCCCCTCATGGGGACCTCCATTATGTCCCCATAAGGGAGACGAGTCCCCACACGTGACTGTGTAAACAGAAGTAGGTCCACACAAGGATAGTAATGCTAGGCCACACACACACACACACACACACACACACACACACACACACACACACACACACACACACACACACACACACACACACACACACACACACACACACACACACACACACACACACACACACACACACACACACACACACACAATAATGGGAGTCCCAGCAGCTTCTACTGAAGCCAGTCCCCAACTCCGGGGACTTCCGGCCGGGGACTTCGGGTGGCAGTATCATAATAATAATAATAAATGGAATTTATAAAGCGCCTTTCAAGGGACCCAAGGTCGCTGGACATGGTGGACAGACAAAACAAAACAGACAATGAGGAGCAAACAAAACAAAAAAATAAAATAAAATAAAGGAAGCCGGGGGACCAGGAAAGGACTAGAGTCCGAAGGCCATGGTGAACAGGTGCGTTTTCAGTGAGGATTTGAAGATGTCCAGTGAGGCAGCGTTCCGGATCTCAGCAGGAAGTGCATTCCAGAGGGTGGGGGCCGCAACACTGAACGCCCTGTCACCCACAGATCGAAGGCGAGATCGGGGGATGGAGAGCAGGCCCGTGTCTGAGGACCGCAGACTCCGAGAGGGGGTGTAGGGATGTAGGAGGTCTGTTAGGTACTGGGGGGCGAGGGTATGGAGGGACTTATACGTGGGGAGGAGTGTTTTATAGTGAATCCGGGACTTGACCGGTAGCCAGTGTAGGTGGATGAGGGTGGGGGTGATATGTTGCCATGGCTTAGTGCGGGTGAGAAGCCTGGCGGCAGAGTTCTGGACATATTGGAGCCTGGCCAGGGTTTTGCTGGGAACCCCGGACAGGACTCCATTGCAGTAGTCCAGACGGGATGTGATGAAGGCGTGTATGAGTGTTTCTGCCACAGAGTCAGAGAGTGAGGGGCGGAGTCTGGCAATGTTTTTGAGATGGTAGAAGGCGGATTTGGTCATGGATTTGATATGCGCCTGGAAAGAGAGGGTGGAGTCCAGGATGACTCCCAGGTTGCGGACTTCAGTGGACGGGGAGATGGAGCAGCCGTCAATGGTGAGAAGCAGGTCACCAACCTTCTGGAGCTGCGCCTTGGGAGCCACAATGATGAGCTCAGTTTTGTTGTTGTTTATTTTTAGCAGGTTTGATGACATCCAGTTTTTGATGTCCTGGAGGCAGTTGACAAGGGAAAGATCATGGATGTATAATAAGAACTGGATACAGCGTGGGAGGCGGGGTCTCGTTCTTTCCTATGAGAGCTGCTCATTGGCGCATGAAGGCAAAATGGCCCAACTTTTGAGAGAGCGATTACCTTGGTTGGTTATTGGCTAATAGTTACACAAGCCAAAAAATCGTTATGACATAAAGTGGCCAAAATCTGATCAGCTAATTTTCAGACAGGTTTTTATATAAATGGATCAGGACAAAAAGAGAGCAAATCTTTTTTCCTGAAACTTTCAGAATCTCTTAACGCAGAGGGGACACATGTTTATGTATAAAAGACATGAAAAAGTGGATTTTGCATAATGGGTGACCCTTAAATGTAGATTTGTGCAGGGACACATTAACCTGACCTTACTTTAACGTTTTGTTGTGTTTGTGTCCAGTAAACCCGGGGTTGAAATGCAGGTGGTGCTGGGAGGAGTGGATTTAGAAAAGGATGAAGTATACGATCAGGTCATTCCTGTGGAGAACGCCATCGTGCATGAGGTTCACAGGGAGAGCCCCTTTGCTCTACATAATGATATTGGTGAGATGCAAAAACATATTCACTTTGTTGATTGTCACTCATTTGGAAATTAAATAACTGGTATATATTTATAGTTCTTTAATTTGTGGCTTTTCTGTGCAGCCATGCTTCAGCTGAAAGTCACAGACAAACCTTACTGTGCCAAAGAAACGCGCTTTGTAAAGACAGCCTGCCTGCCACAACGTCCCTTTGACAACGGCACGGAGTGTGTGATCTCAGGGTGGGGCGTGACTGAAACACGTAAGTATCACCGGCACTGTGAACTACACACTGCAGAACACTACATCATTATTTAAGATTGTCAGGGGTTGGACATGTTTTGTATTCAGTCAAAAGGAATTTAAGTACATTTGTAAAGCATCTGATCTATGCAGATAAAGTAGTTTTGTGAGCATGAAACAAACAAAAAAATAACATCCCAACAGCCAGTTAAAAGTTAAATGTTTGGAACTTTGGCAGCTCATGGATATTCCTCCAATTCACCTAGTCCTATATCACGCATTTACATCGGAAAACAAGGTAACGTATTTCTACTTGGTCATTTTAAAGTGTATCATGCCAAGTATTATTGAATTGACTGACATATAACTTCAAAATCACACATGGATCGCCAGAATTCTTTTTTCTCATTTGCCTCTCAGTGCTTCCATAGTTACCCAAATATAGCACTTAATGATAATAAAAACTGTGGCAAACAATAAGCAGGAATATCTGTGGAAAATCTATAAATAAACTCAAGTACATAGTACGCTCACAATATTTAGATAAAATAAATTCAAGTTATTTCTATCTCGATCCATACACTTTAAGAATTGACATGTCACTGAATTTTGAAGTTTAATTGTATGAATACTCTGTTTATTTCACAGAAGTACGGTACCAACCTGCTGCTGGATGCTCGTGTGCTCCTGATCTCACAGGAGAAATGTAAAGCTCCCCATGTTTACGGAAACTCTCTGGATGACAGCATGTTCTGTGCAGGAAACATGAAAGGAGGAGTTGACTCCTGCCAGGTCAGTGACAGATGTGTTTACATAACATACAGTATATATTCTTAAAACTGTATTCTTGTTTCCCATTATAATTGTATTACATATTTACTAAGTCATACAAACAGAAACACAACAATAAAGTACAAGGACAATATCACAGGAAAAACCAATAGAAGGTTGGCGGAGGGATTACAGTGTATTTAATGCAAGTGTTTCTATTCAACTCATAAAGTAACCCTAGGAACACGTGCATGCATATGGTCTTTCATCTGCACTAGGTTTTCTGGTTTTATTGGTTGATTTTCTTGTTCTTACACATCTCGTAATTTAAACCCAAATTGTATATTATGGGTCCAATAGTGTTCTAATATAAAGGGCAGCAGATGGGATGAATTGAGTCCAGGAATGACCTTATTTTACCCATGAATTGTTACCTCCCCTATCCACATATGACAGGGAGGAGAACATGTTGTTCTTGCATAAGGTTCAGAAAGTCGCCTTAAACACACAAAGATATAACCTTTTGTTTTTGTCCCTGCAGGGTGACTCGGGTGACCCTCTGGTGTGTGAGCGTGATGGGACTCACTATGTGGTCGGTGTTGTGAGCTGGGGCAACGGCTGCGGAAAGACATGCTACCACATTACTGACTCCTGTACTGTTTTATCAACAATACACTTTTCTTTTGTAACAAAATGTGTTATAATGAAAAAGATTGTCAAAGCTCTCACTCCACCCACACATTACCTCAAATGTTTTAGAGCTTGAACTCATGTTAACCTCACTGTGCTGTTATTACATAACTGTAAGAATGCTTGCAGAAACTGTTAATAAAGATCATTTTAAAATGCATAAAACAAGAAATGTATTGCACAGTTTGTTTAAGCTGATCAAAGAAAAACCATGTGACACTCCAAAAAGACCAAACTCTGTGTAACATTGAACAGAATAGTTTATTATAAAGTTTGATGGGTGTATAATATATATGTATACATATGCAGGCAATGTGATGGATACACTTTTTTTCTTGCATTCCCTGTAGCCCTGCCAACGCTTGCCAAATGTATCTAAATTACCGAACTTATCCAACTTCTTATCTTGTTTTGTTTGGTCATTCAAAAAACATGTATTGAATGCAGAATGCATTATGCTAGGAGAAATTAAGAAATCTCAATCTCTCCTGACTCGACCATGCTCTTTAGCTGTAAATATTTCCGGAAATGTAATTGATTTCGTAAGATAAAATGTTTCTTAAATCTTTAAGTTGCTCCAACGACTAAGTAAGTTATCATATGTATTACGACTCCTGACTTTTCCCTGTGTATATATCTGTTGTAATTTATTGTCTTTTATTGTGATTGTAGTAATGTGTTTTTATTACATGTACAGCACTTTGGCTCGACCAAAAATCGCTTTTAAATGTGCTTTATAAATAAAACTTGATTTGATTTGATTTGGTTTGATAAATCAATACCATAGATACCAGTAAAAGACTTCTACCTATACAGACAAAAAATACAAGTTGGCGTGCAAATATAGGCATGTAAGACAAGGTTAAATAAATGAAACCATGGTGCAAAACAAGCCAGCAATTTCAACATAATCGACGCAGCTGGCTAAATATTGACCAGTGTGTGGGATGGTTTTAGGATTAAAGTCTAGATAATGCTCTCGATCCTCAGTCTTCTTCATGGCTCTGAGAGTTAAACACAGCACCATGCTGACTGCAGGGGCCCTGCTCATATGCCTGAGTGCACTGAGTGTTCACGGACAACATGACATAACGGTAAGTTTCTCAATATCTTCATAAAGAGGATGATTTCATTTTGAAGGACAAGGAAATGTGCTGATCTCTTCTCTCCTGTGCTTTTGTCATTCCAGCTTGATGACATGTGTAAGAATCTTTTCTACAGTTGATGCGGTGACACATTTCATCTTCGTATCTGTGACACTTACTGATTTCTATATTACACTTATAGCCGCCAGTTGTGATTGAAGCATTTGTTATGCTTTTTAAAAAACTATTTTGTCTATATGGTTGATATTTTATTGTGTCTTCCTTTTTTTACATAAAGAATATTAATACATTTTCAAGCGAGACAGAATGGTGTGGTTTTATTGCACCTCACAGAACTCTGTAAAGTGCATTAAAAGTACTTTTAATAATAATTGTATTCAACCGCAGTATTCACTGGTATACTGTCTTGTTTTAAAGTATTTAGTTATATGCGTTTGTTATATTTCCATCAATTTGCTTTAACAACTTTAAGTGCTCCAACCCCATCCAGGAATTGCTAGATTTGTATTTATTTTCTCTGAAAAATGGATATCAAAGGTTTTCTTTGCTTTAATTTAATAGATGATTTATTTAGATAAAAGTCTGTTCATATTGTTGCGACACCCCAGTGTTTAATCAGCTCTGTGTCCTTGGCAGACGTGGACTATGGATATGACTACACCCCCGACATCATCAACCCTTTTTTTGATGAAGGCGACTGGTTGTATGACCTAATGGAGGAGTCCAGTAAGCGGCCCTGAAAAAATACATTACCAATTGTACATGTGTCTCCATCTTACCTTTAAACTCAATAACTCCTTCTTTATCCTTCCATTTCCAGATAGTTGTGATCCAAACCCTTGCAACAATGCTGGCTCGTGCCAAAGTAAATCCGATACAGAGTTCACATGCTACTGTCCTGAGCCTTACATAGGGAAGAGGTGTCAAAAAGGTGGGGATTTTGTAAAAAGCAATGCTCATTTGAATTCTCAGTTACAATTCTGATGGTATCAGGTGTGTCAATCCATTTTGATGGGCTATAAAACGTACAGTAGTCTCTTTCATGGACTTTAAAGCTTTCAGCAATATCTCAATGTTTACGCATGACGTTCACACATGGCTAATCTATACCTTTGTTTACTTTCTTTTGTATATATAGTGAGAAATGTTTGTGAGAACGTCAGATGTGGTCGTGGTGGTAACTGTGTCATGAATGTAAGGAATCCCCCGTATTATGAGTGCAAGTGCAGACCTCCCTACTATGGTACCAACTGCAGTTCATGTGAGTATCCCAAAGCCCATCTTTCACTAAATGTAATTTTAGTTTAGCTACATTGTTTAAGCTTGCTTTTGCGCACCATTACATTGTTTATGTCTGTATCAGTGCCAAGTTCTGCCTGTGAACCCAATCCGTGCCAGAATGGAGGATCTTGCATGAAAGGGAACCGCCGCTTACGCTGCTTCTGTCCCGATGGATATACTGGGAAGTTCTGTGAAATTGGTAAAGGCTTTTAAAAGAAAGAATACTTTTTTAAAAACATAAAGTTATCACTACCTTTTACGGCAACTTTGTCCTTTTTCTATAGTTTTTGTCATACATTGTAATTTTTTAAAGACTGTATTTGTGTTTTCACCAATATTCTTGTGTAGCTCCGACTGATTGTTATGAGGGAAATGGAGAGACATACAGGGGAGTCGTCAGCATGGCAGATGGGCAGGAGTGTCTGGACTGGCATTCCTATTTCATTGTTTCAAACGGGGAAGATCCTTTTACCATGTACTCAGACTTTACTGGACTGGAACATAACAACCACTGCAGGTATAGTCAAATGAATCTACATACAAAAAGAATTTGACATATATGATAATATTTGTAGCATGTATTTAAATATGGCATCTGGGAAATAATTATTTTATTTTCAGTAAGTAGAAAAATGTGACAAATTCAGTAAATATATAATGTTAATTCTAAGTCCAACACTTTCATATTCATCACCCGTAGCTTTAGGTTACATTTTTTATTTCAGAATCTAAAACTCCATATAATCTTGTCATGTAATACATTTTAAATGTATCATCAGTACTTCAATACTATTCAAATATCTCTTCAAATATACTTTTTTTGTAAAGGGATGTAAACTAATAAAATTAACAGTATCACTTTTTGAACAGTAATTATTATTTATTCTATATTTAAGGAACCCAGATGGGGATGACAAGCCTTGGTGTTTTACTAAACAGGGTAGTAAACTGCAGTGGGAGTACTGCAATGTCAAGAAGTGCTCTGATGGAGGTAATCTCACACACACACACACACACACACACACACACGCACACACACACACACACACACACACACACACACACACACACACACACACACACACACACACACACACACACACACACACACACACACACACACACACACACACACACACACACACACACACACACACACACACACAGCATATACAGTATGTCCTGTCTTCCTGCACCGTGCTCACTCTTCTCTGATGTCCCTCTCAGACACTGCTCCACCCACACCACTAACACCAGTTCCAGGCTCTGCCCAGTTCTCTCAGTGTGGGAAATCCCCGCCTGTTCGCAATAGCAGAATTTTTGGGGGTAAAAAGGCCATCCCGGGCGCCCACCCCTGGCAGGCGTCGGTGCAGATCAAACACAAAGGCTCCACCGCTGAGTTCAGACACTCTTGTGGTGGGATCCTCCTCTCTTCCTGCTGGGTGCTCACTGCTGCACACTGCATGTGGGTTTGGCATTTCATTTGTTTGATATTTCCTATGTGTTATAAAAATATCACTCGTCACCGGCTTGAGCTTCAATATCAGGATACATGTATTTATTATCCTTGCAAGAATGGAAGTAGTCATCACATACAGAGCATATGATACAACTAGTTCCTGAACAGTGTCCTTCACAAGCTTATATACAAGAGAGGGAGTTACACAGTCACAAGATGCAGGAAAACCGGTTCAAAGCAGTATTCAATGTTTAGTTTAGATCAGCTGAGACCTACGTCAGAAATGTTCATGCTCTATCTCCATAGAGGCTGAATCATCATGTTAATCGTTGTCACATAGCTATCAAATGCCTAAAGCAGTGTGTCCTGACGCTCTTCTGGGTAATCATACATCCTGTCACGTACACAGCTACGTAGGGCCTTTGTTATCATGTGCTACTCTGATATTGGAAGAGTACATTCAGTATTTTCCCAACACAATGTCTTCTACAAGCCTACTTATACTGTATACTGATTGATTTTTTCAGTGAATCTAATTTGGATTACCAAGTGGTGATGGGAGGAGTGAACATAGAAAAACAGGAGGACATGGACCAGACCATCCCAGTTATACAAACCATTGTTCATGAGAACTACAGGGCCACTCCCCAAGCTCTATACAACGACATTGGTTTGTAACACATATCAAATATAGTCGTTTTTCTAATGTGCATATTTTAATGTATATACTTATTTCCTGTGTAGCTCTAATGAAGCTCCAAGTTACGGACAGCCCTTACTGTGCAAAGGAAACCCGCTTTGTGAAGGCGGTGTGTTTACCGGACCAGGCCTTCCCGGCTGGAAAGGAGTGTGTGATCTCTGGATGGGGAGCCACTGAAACCCGTAATAAACTCTTTATAAGAAGTCCTTTAATGTTAGATAAACAGATTATTTGGTACAATTATACTTCAGTATCGCATATCCATAAAGTTAAGGGACTTGCAAGAACACAATGGTCAAAACTGATTCAAAAGAGGCCAAGATACTTCTACTCTTTAGTCTCTAGTTTGGGTTATACTTTAAGAAAAATGAATCCTACATTTTCCATAAGGCAACAGGATAACAACAATTATTAGACCCTTTTTAAATTATAGGCTGAAACTAACATTTCTAAATCATTTTAATACCAGTGCTTTTCACACTGTCTTCATTGAGAAAAGCTCTTTTAGTTCTGTGTCTGTTTGTTTCCCGATGTCATTTAAATTCACTTTAATCTCCCCTTTTAGAGAGGATAAGCAGCCAGCTGTTGAACGCTCGTGTTTTCGTGATCTCAGATGAGAAATGCAAAAACCTTGATGCCTACAGAAATGTTTTGGACAGCAGCATGTTCTGTGCAGGCACTCTGCAGGGCGGCATCGACTCCTGTCAGGTGTGTATGTTTATAAATGTGAAGTATCAAGGTGTCAATGCATGCAAGGTGCTCATGAAAGAGATGGCTACCTTCAAAGCAAAAAATCATCCAAACTTCAAGGTAACATAATTATAGATACCTTTATTGGCATCAGTCATATTAAACCTGTGTCGGATGGATGGATCCTTTCCTCTGTGGCCCTCTTCAGAAAATATGCTCAATTTGCTGTTTCTACCTCTACAGGGCGACTCAGGCGGACCCTTGGTGTGTGAGAAAAATGGCACACGGTACATCAGCGGTGTGGTGAGCTGGGGTGTGGGCTGTGCCGAGAAAAACAAGCCTGGTGTCTACGCCAGCGTCCACGCATTTACCGACTGGATCAAAAACAAAATGAATTGATGACTATAATAGTTAAATAAATACTGTGGTGTTTGCCGTTCGCTCTAAGATTTGTTCTTTTGTAAAGAAAAACAGATGACACTTCAATTTGCCTTGAAAAAAAAGGTTTATTTGATCAGTGATAAAACCAAGCATTTACTCCCAGCCCAGCTTTGAGTTAAAATGGGCATTGATACAAACTCATGAAGCTGAACCTGCCAGACAAAATGTAGATAACACATCATTCCAGTAGGCCTTAACGTCTTTATCACTGAGGCTCGCTCAAAGTGCACTAGATGAGCAGACCGCGTAAGAAAACTGAATGTTTTCCACGGCTGCCACAAGGTTTGTGCCTTGCTTATATGAACTTGTTGTCCATATCTAAAGATAAATGAAAAAAAAACAGTTGAAAAAAATCTTCTGCAGTGCTGGCAATCTCTGGTAGAGCTTCATTATCTTCTAATCACACTCAATATAAACACAATTCAAACTTTCCATTTCAAACATGATCACTTTTGTTCTGTTTTGGTATTTCTGATGTTTTTGCTGCTGTTGAATGTGGTCCTTTGGAGCTGATTTAACCCATGCAGAAGGTTTGATAAAATGTCAAAAAAACACCTTGCAATTCATCTAAAAATAAAGTTTCTTTCTTTGCTCACCACATGCATTGACCATCCTTTAAACTAACTTGACAAGTCCTTTCCTTATTCAACATGCTTATTCCTTTCGTCACTTCCACTTCATTTTGCAGTTCTTGTTGCACCTACAGTTCTCCGTTTGACTTTGGTGTGGGGTCTCATGTAACTACATCAAATTTCATCAAAGCAGCAAACCACTTCTAGAGCAACCCACACTTTCTGAAAGCGGCCATCTTTAACATTCCTTAACACAATCATCTATAAAAACTCCTCTTATCTACGCGTCTGTTATCGCAGCATCTTTACTAGATATGGACGTCTGGACGGTGTTCTGGAGAGCCGCCGATGAGGAGGAGGACGAGGTGGTGCTGGACTTCTTCTCCATGGATTTGAAAGATGTGGTGGTCTTATTTTGGACGGTCTTGACGGTCTTCATCCTCTTGACGTGGAGCACCTCCATGGCGTCCATGTTGACGCCTTGTTTGATCTCCTCGCTGGTCTCCACCTGCTCCGAGGCCTCCTGCTGCTGCTGCTCCATCTGCTGCTGGCGATGAACCTGAAGAAGGGTGTGGAAAAAGTTAAAAAGGTGGATTTTTGAAGGCCCTCTGTGTTGGATTTAAATTGTTTAACCCATTTAGAAAATACTTATTCATCAGAGTCATGTTCCCCTCACCATCATCATGTGCTGATAGTTGGCGATAGCCTCGTCAGTGGTGACTCCCTCAGCGAATCCCAGCTCTGCAGCCCGGCGGGCCAGCTCGGCCTTATGGGAGCCGGGAGGGGTCCAGCCCACTCCTCTGGTCCAGTTCAGGTCTGACTTGTAGTTCACCTGCAACAGAGAGCAACAACTAATTAATAAATCTTGTCGAAATGAGCTCACAAGACAGGGAATACTTAAGTATACAGTAGTGGAGTTATCTTCACACAACCAGTCTTTTTAAGCTTAAACTCTACCTTGCCCCAAGTTATACCTAATATATATATATAATTCCAATAACTTGTATATAGACTCGTACTGCACTATTCCACATCATAACTTTATTTCATTTTTATAACTATTATTATTTTTGTATTGCTCATGCTCTTATTGTTATTATGTTATTATGTTGCATTGTTGGAGAAGCCTGTGACATAAGATTTTCAACTGCATAATTACTCTGTAGCTATGTCAGATTGACAATAAAGAACCTTGAACCTTGAACCTTGAGTTTACTGTATGTCAGTTAGTTTGTGGCATACAGCAAATTAAACAATTACCTACCTACACATCCAGCAGCTGCTAACCAAAATTAGCTATCGCCATGTAGTCGTGTTTCTAGCCACCTGATAAATGTCCAAAAAAGTGAAGCTCCATTTTTGGTCTCCACCAAATCCCCAAGAGAGGATCTGGTAGATGCTAAATGTTTCCCTATTTTTACCAACTAACTACATTTGTCTGTAAACCATCAGTTTTTTCAATGCTTGCTGCAATCAAAAACTTCACAGTAGGAATAATATCAACTAAAATATGAAAATATTAAATAACATATTGACATAGGGGTTTCTAAGAGCATTTGAATTGGATAAAAATGCAAAAAAATGTAGATCCATTATCATTTATTTTTTCTTCAGTGGTCCATATTGGCAAATGTTTTAATTAATCAACTTACTACAGTATATTGCCACAACCTGGCAACTTCTTCCTAAAGGGATGTATTTATTTAATTACATACTGTCATATTGAATGATTTAAAGTTTTTGTTTTGTTTCACACATAACGTCAAAAAAGGGAAATCAAATAATGGACAATGGATGTAAAGAAAAATCCACTTCAAATCTTGTTCTACAATATACTCCATGTGCATTCTGACTCACGTCGCTCTGCAGCTTGTAGGCCTGCTTGGCGTGCTTGACGTTGAGTTGCTCCGAGTCACAGGTGTAGTCGTGGAGCTTGCTGCGGTACGTGAGGTCACTCGCCTGAGCCTGACTCTTTTTGGCATTCAGGAACTCGGGCTGGTCGGCGTGCATTTTGAAGTGTCCGCGGTCCTCCTTGGACTGCCGTTTGTACTCCAGGTTGCTCTGGAGCTTGCTGGCTGCCATATTGTGCACCATCTTAGGGTCGTCCTCCACACAGCGCAGCCCCACCTGCTGCCCCTTCTCCTTCACATGAGACTCTTTGTAGCGGAACTGAGGGAGGCAGAAAAACACAGTTTTAAGTTTAATTGAAGTTACTGGAATTAAATTTAGCTTTAGGGATTCTACCTCTAAATGCGCTTCCATAAAAATAAATGAAATACTTTGATTGTGCTCCATCCAGAATACTGGAGAAAAACTTTTCAAATCATTTTGTGCTATAAATAAAAAATAATAAATAAATAAAAAGGGGGCGATAAACATGACATCTTGGGAATTGCTGTAAATAAATTATGTTTTAGTACGTGGTGTAAACAATTATTTGAATTGTAAAGACGCCTAACTGTATTTCCCTGCATTATGATACGCTAAAAAAGGTAATAAATCCTAATGTGTTCTTCTAAAGGAGCTTATCATTCAACTCACGTCACTAGCCATTTCTCTGGAGGCCTTCGCAGTTTGGAAGGGAATAGCATCCAGCCTCAGGTCATGGCCAGACGTCTTCACCTGCTCCCCAGACGCCTTGTAAACTTTCTGTATCAGAGAATAATTAAAAAGATGATGTTAAACATTTTACAAAAGGGATATTGGCATGTCAATGTGGATTTGTATGTGCTTGTATTTAGGATTGTGAGAAAGTATCCTTACATCACTAATCTGCTGGGCATTCATCCTTGCTCTGACAAACTCTGGGTCATCAGAATGTAAAGTGTACTTATGCATGTCGTCATTCTTTCCAGATTTGTACAGCCTCTGCAGCGGAAAGAAATGAGCAGTTCAAACAACAGAAATGTAGATTGGGACTGAATTAAGCGATGATAATTAATGTTGATATTTTCAACCCACCTCACTGTTCTGTTGATAGCTGGCCTTAGCGTGGACCATATCAGGAGAGTCGGTCACTGAGGTGAACTTTAGGCTGTCTGGCAGCTGACGATACTTCTTCTGCAGGAATCAAAACCACACACACTTTAACAGAAATACAGATGGCTGAGATGTTGACAAATAATAATGCTAAATGTACTATAGATAGATGTCCTTTTTTTCATTCTCACCCTGTTGCTGTTTAAACTACTGAATTTCCCCACGGGGATTAATAAAGGTCCATCTTATCTAATCTTATCTTATTTTTGCATTTTGTTCCGAATATTATGGGACTGGTGGGGCACGGGTCTTAAGGCCTCATGATTGTACCTTTCAAATCCTTACTACCCTTTTTTGGACAAAGGTCATGCATTTTAATTAATACCATTCCCCCCCTCTACTCACATCACTTAGGAGCTGTCCAGCCTTCTTAGCAGACTCCAGCTGAGGAGCACCCACTCCGTCCCAGGCCACTCCTTTCATGTAGGTGAGATCTGCCTTGTAGAGTTTCTATACATAAAGTAATATAATGCGTCAGTCAAGTTAATTATATTATGCATTTTCAACGTCCTCTTCGCCCCCCCCCCTCACCTCGCTCTGCAGGTCGTGAGCTGCTTTGGCCCACTTGACCGTCATGTCGTCAGAAGGTATGGTGTACTCGTGCAGTCTCTTCCTGTAGTCCTGCTCGCTGGCCAGGGCCTGGGAGTTCTTGGCCGTCACCAGGTGAATCATGTCGGGGGTGAGGTGGTACTGGCCGCTGGTCGTCATGGCGTCCTTGCGGTACTCCTGGTTGCTGGCCAGCCGGCCCGCCTGCAGGCAGTGCACGAGATACGGGTCTTCTGAGGCACTGACCCCAATGTGCTTCCCTTTTTCCAGCAGGTGGTCGTGTCTGTACTTGTTCTGCAAAGAAACATGGACAAAATATGTGTAGTTCTCTACGTCCAGGAGACAACTCACACCAAAACAATGTATTTTGATACACAGCACTACAGGATAGGTAGAATAATATATTATTATTTTAGGCAGAACTGTGCCTTTAAGGTTTTTTGTTTTGTTTTTTTAACTTATTCTTTATTAGTTATTTTCTCACATTGCCCTTTACATCCAATTGTACTCCAATTTAGAGGAATGGTTTCTTTAACAAGGGGTCACAACATGTATAAGGTCTCAAATCCCAACACATACAAAACAATTAAAGATGGGTTATAAGGTCATCCTACATATTACAATAATACAGTCCAATATACTTACGACAAATATCCATATACCAGAACATTTCAAAAATATAAATTCCTCATTTTAAAGAAGCCATATTATATCATTTTGGGGTGTCACACAGTCCAGTTCCTTTTTATGCAGCCTTAATAATCCTTCCATTATTAATCCCAGTTTCCTCCTATTACCTTCACCAATGGTGTCCATCTTTCTTTAAAAGTTTCCCTCCGTAATCG